TCCCTATACACAAATATATTTTTTTTAAACACTACAATATATATATATATATATATATATATACATATATAGTATTTCGAGCCAAAACGAACCGAACACGAAAGAACACATCTTAGTTCGTGTTCAGCTCGTTAACTTATCGAACAAAATTAACGAACCGAACACGAGCTTCTTAACGAGCCGAACAAGAGTAGTTCGCGAACAACGAGCCGTTTTGACAGCCCTACTCCCATGTCCTGCTCTTATTGAGAGCACCAAATTCTTCCAGTATTGCAACCTTCTACTTTGGATCCTCCTTAGCTAACCTGTCAACACTTGGGTATATTGATAGTGTTCAAAGATGCATTGAATGCTACATGTAAATGTGAAATATTAGTGTTTGAGACAAACTAGGTGGGATGTCATGTGAGGAACCAAAATGATCAGGAGGATGACCCGCATTGTTGCAAGAGATCTTCCTTAAAGTCATGAGAGTGAGAGGAGAAGAGAGGAATCATATCACATGTGTAATCGAAGTTCAAGGTGGATGGTGTGTCTCAGAAGTCGGGGTAGACCAGAACAAAAGACTTATTGGCAAGAGTGACACAGCAGACACTATTCCCCCATTCTCTCTTTTCCTCCTTGTATACACGCTCAACTCCCCTTGACCTCAAGTCCCACCGCCCTTGGGCTAATTTTCCTCATTTTTAGGCTCTTCCTTAGTTGATCGTTCCAGCACAACAGGACAATGCATCATTTCCACCTGTATCAATCTATCACCATCACTACTCTCTCTCTCTCTCTCGCCTCACCCCTCCAACATCTGATGAGACACCTCTAAGGTGTAGTATAGTTTGAATTCTCTAAAGATCACTTCCATACTCACAAACATTCTTTTTTCAATTGGGCTCTAACAACAAGTATATCCTTTATGAGCGATAAAATAACACACAAAAATTCAAGTAAATTCAAGTCACAACTCTGAGATCCAGCTTTCTTATTGATGTTTTATTGTCCTTCACAAAACATACACAACCAAATAACTTCAATTGTAGGATCCCACAATTATCTCCTTTCAATAATTCACACGAAGATTGTCACTCCAACACTCTTGAGGCGTTTCCATTGATCAATTGAGCGGCTGTCAAAGCAGCTTGCTCACACAAGTGCTTTAGGATATTCATCGAGATCATCATGTTTTTGGTTACCTCTAGAAGGTGTTTATTCTTCTACTGCTTCATTTTGTGTCAGTGTGTATGAACAAGTAGTTTGATGTTGTATCCTTTGGGTTGACAGATACTCCTCAAACATCTTGTTGGTATACTCTGTCTCGTTATCATACCCCAATATCTTCACTACTGCATCGTATCGAGTTTGAATCGCCTTGTGAAAGCCTTTAACGCAGGCAAGCACAATGTTTTTATTTCTCATCAGATATAACAAAATAACACAAGAAAAAAATCAATGGTAATAGAAGCTCTCTATAACCAAAATATTTCTCATACATGGTAATAGGAGCTCTATGTAAACATTAATCGAAGTTGTAGAACATGGTCCCCATATATCCGAGTCACTAAATCAAAAACACAAGAACTCATATTACCAAAACAAATAGAAGAGCTCCTAGTGTGCTCACCAAACTCACATGCATCACACAAGTTTTTGCTTATTTGCGTTTTTCATACAAAGGCAGATACAAACGACTCAGAGCGTCGCATATGCCTGCGATGTAGCAACAACACATCATCCACACTCCTCTCAGATCCTTCTACTCTGACTCTCTCTACCATGGATGTCAAGGTTGAGTCCATCCCCTCTATCTAAGTAACAAAGTCCACATATCATATGCAAGTCCCAAGTCTCTGACTAGTCCCATTCTTCAGAAATATCACATTAAGAATATCAAATAAAACAATACATTTTAGTTGGAGTATAATGACACTAATAAATAAAGGGTTAACTGGAAAGAAAGGAGCATGCAAAATATTGGATAGTCATAAAATTGGTAAACCTTATTGTACCTTTACCAACCACATGTTGTGTTGTATCATCCGTGGTCTAAATGCTCTCTGGAATTGCTAGATGAGTATATGAACATAACTCACTAACAACACCTGTCACATGTCGAGATGTGTCAGAATCTACTATCTATTCTGGTGATCTTGCATGTGTATCACAAACACCTTTGACTGAGTGGGCATAAATAGTAGTATTCCCCTTGGATGACGATAAGATGGATGCATCCTCAGTTACATCACCTGCTACTCTCTGTTTAATCTTCAACATCTCTAAGGGCTTGTGATCTTCATCAGTAAAGACTACCTCAGTCTCTCCATCATTCTCTACTACCATCAAATTCACACCGTGCCACCCTCTTTCACCCCTTTGGCCTCCACAATTACGACCACAACCTCTGAATTGTCCATGTCCACCCTTCTCTCTCTCTCCTTGGGTGGCTTTGAACAAGCCTTGCTTAGGTGTTCCACTTCTCCACAGTTGTAGCACGAGTGGGGCTCCCCCTGAGCACCAATCATACCTAAGCTCGAGGCAACCCAAGCTGACAGTGTACCTGGAAGTCCACTCTGCTCAGAGTGTAACCTCATGTTACTCTCCTCCTGCAAATATCGTGACAATGGCCTCATCCAGTGAAGGAAATATTTCCTGGGCTAGGAGGACTGATCTCCTCTGATCAAAATCAGATTCAGATGAGCCAAAAACTACATAGTCCTCATATGTGCAAAAGTCTCTCCATTCATGCATCCTAGATCAACAAAAATTGACATAGGTGAGAAGTGATCAAGAAATTGCCACAGCTGTTCCAGCTCTATGGAGTACTCCTGAATCAATCTATCATCTTGTACCATTGTTTCTATGTCATGTTGAATCTAAAACACTCTCATGTGGTTCTTAGTTCCAACATAGGTCCTCTTCAACTTTGCCCAGATGTCATTCTCCTTTTGAATGTCATCCACTGATGTTTCAATTGATGGAACTATCGAGTTGAGTAGCAAGGTGTAAATCAATGCAGATGTGGTCCTCCACTCATTCCCTCGGCATTATCACTATTTAGCTTAACCCCCATCGGGTATTATTCTAGTCTCCCCCCACTAAAGCAACCTCGATCCAATGCTACCAACTAAGATAAGTGACTGATTCATCAAGCTTCAGATCTACAGGAGGGAGATCTGGTTTCACCAAAGTCAAAACACGTGTTGAGGTAGTGGTTCCCGTCAAGCACTCCCTGTTTGAGCCAGACCAACCTTTATAACTTTAGAATCTATCTTCCCTAGAAGTTCCAATCCTTTACCTCTTGTACTATGTTTGTCTCCTGACACCCTCAATCACAAGGATAATTTTAGAGCACAAAAAACACACGTGACTACCTTCCTGCAAGTTCATGCTATTTGCTTTACCTTTAGCCTGCACGAAGCTGCAACCCATCTCTCACATGCAAAAACCACACCTGTTTCGATCCTTTGCCTCCCTGTAGTCGAGTGGAACTACAAAAACGAAACCCTGCTCCACAGCCTTCCTAAATCTAGAGCCGCAATTCCAAATTATTTTGTACGCAACAGCCTCATCGTTGCCTTCTTAATTAGACAAGGTGCTGAATAAGGTGCACCCTGATATTCGTATCTCAAGCAAGGCAATGAGCATCATGAACCTGTTCATCAACGATATCTTTGATAAACTTGCGTAGGAGTCCTCACACCTTGCTCGATGCACTAAGAAGCCGACTATTACTTCCCGCAAGATCCAGACTTCCGTTAGTGTGGTTTTTCTCGGAGAGCTCTAATCGCGATTGGATCGTCGGAGGGTTCACGACGCGATATGCTGGTTACCTTCCCAACGAGCCGCAATTTCATCGTTGCCTTCCCAGCGAATTGTGAGCCTCTCGTTGCTTTCTTAGCGAGCTCTAGTTGCCAGTGTCTCCACCGATCGAGTTGCATTGATCCTCACGATCGAGCAGCATCAAGCCCCTGGCTGTTAGGGTTAGGCTCTAATACCATAAGGAATTAAATGCTCTTAAAAACTTCCAGAGTGACTTGGGCTTATATAGAGTCTTACAATATTTACAAGTAAATCTCAAGACTTCTTCTATTTACAAATAGGACATGACATTAGGTACAAATCTCAACACAAATACTATACTATATTTTAAAATTTGACAAATCAACCCACTAACATCTACAAATAATAAAAATAATAACCAATAAAAAGAAATTTCTGGGATAAATTAAATACAAATCCATGAAACTATTAAAACATGAAATCACAAAGTTGACGTACCTGAAAAACCATAGAGGACACAATTCATTGCAGCAGCAATTGGCAGTGGAATTGAAGCAATCAGTGACCCAAACTTTCCTGATTGATTTTTTAAAATTATAAAAATCATTGTTGTCACGTTTTACTTTATTCTTTATATCAATTTACGACATTACCTAAAATAGAGAAAAAAATCATGAAACCAGCCGATATTTCCACAACGCGTCGGCTTCCAACTTGTGTCAGAGCTAAAAGGCCTGCATTTTCACTATTTACGCTACAAAAGTAAGTTTTCACATAGTTCTAAATAGAGATCTATTAGCATAATATTTTTCACATAGTTCTAAATAGAGATCTATTAGCATAATATTTTTCACATAGTTCTAAATAGAGATCTATTAGCATAATATTTATAGATTAGATATATAAGTACATTGATGCTGCTGAGCCATTGGCAGTTCCAAACATCCCACTTAGCAATATACCAACTCCCTGCAAAACCACAAAATATAATTAAAATTAATATTACATCACAATAATGTTTTTTTTCTAATAATAAATCATCTATCTTGGAAAAATCTTGCTACCTGCCATCCAACCCCTCTACTGAAAACAGAAGGTGGTACAAATGTTGCACTTGCAAACCTTGATGCAGCAAGTATGATCCCCGTTGACTGAATAAGGAAATGTAGATTAGCAGCCGTGGTGAAACCAAGGGGTGGCTGGCGGATGCACTCACTACCTCTAATTTTTTACTAAATTCTTTAATATCGTATAAAACACTTTTGCACTTAAACATAAATACTTAATAATAATTCAATAATAACTATATTTTTAATTTCATAAGAATATTAATAATAGTTTTTAATTTTTTTTAAAAGATGAAAATTCTAAACTTAAAACTCATGACCGCTTAATTTTTAGGGCCATTTACATACATACCATACTATTCTTATGTATTTACATATCTAATACCTAAACATTCATATTTACTTGCATACCACTCAAGTTTTTACCATCACATTAAAAATAAATCCAACTTAAACCAAACTTCATTATCATTATCATTTTAAAAGTGAAATATGTCTTTTCATGCATAGATTTATGATACCAATGTGTTATAAATGTAAATATCAAACTTTGGATGTTAGATATGTAAATACATGAGAATTGTGGGATGTATGCAAATATTACAAAAGAGAGAAGTGTTAAAATAAAACCCCGACTGTTTATAGAAGGTCCATTTAATCTCAGAACCTATAAAATGCCAATTTAGTCCCGAGAAATTTTAATTTGAGCAGAAATAATCTTCAAGAAGGGCTATTTCAGCCCTAATTTAAAAAGTTTGTGGACTAGTTTGACACTTTAATAAACTCTGGGACTATAACGACCCAATGTAAACAATCAAGGGACTATTTGACACTTTACTCTCATATAAAACTAGCATTACATTCTCCACTCTCATGTTAAAAACTGGATGATGTACACAGTGCAAAAAAATAGGAACAAGCATTTACTCCCTTGAAGGCACAGTTCTACAAATATAAAAGAAACCAACACCCATTGAAGATCATGAAGTTTAATTACATAAACAAATCTTCTTGTTCATTTAGCAAGCAGTATGTTGGATATAACTAAGAGGTTCACCACCATCCGCATTATGCAAGAGAGGGAAGATGATGAATGCTAGACAGCTATTTTAGTAGTTTTCATTGTCTTACATTCATACAGAAGACGCTAAAAATAATTAAAGGTGGTCCCGACTGCACTAATTGTCATACAGTATTGCTTGACTCAAAAGCCTAAGCTTAGTTAGACATCGCGATCTTAGAAAAAATGGGGTTTTATGTTTGAATCCATGTGTCTGACTTGCAAATGTCAACTAAATACAATAACATTTTTTTCGCAAACAAAACATACTCCCATTATACCATCGATGTTAGAAATATTATTATAGCAGGCTTGGATATCGTGTCAGTTATTGAAAAACTCAATGACCTAGTGGCTTAAAATAATATGTTACGTAGTAGTCTTAAAATAAATAATACAGATGCGTGCTAGAAAATTCGCACTGGTAGAATAATGAATTTTGTCTTAGCGTTGCACGAAAATTCAACACACACTCAGGTAAAATAAAACAACCAGTAATGACACATGTAGTTTTTACGTGAAAAGCGCGTAAATGAAAAAAACCACGGGACCTAGCCTAGTTATAAAAATTTACTATAGGTTGATGATTACAGAGACCGCTTGTCCCACAGGCAGGAAAGGGTTATTAGGTTTTCTAGGTTACAACGTCGACTGACAGCTTCCAATCGGTGGTGGTCGACGATGATTGGTGGTGATCGATGGCGGTAATTGGTGGTCGACGACTGTCGGTGGTGGTTGATGACGACAGTAGTGCTCAAAGGCGGTGATCAACGATGAGAGAGGTGGTGCTAGACTTCAGCTTAGTCTCAGAGTTTTAAGTTCTATCTCAAGTCTCAAGCCTCCTCCCCTCATAAGAAGGGTGGGTGGGATTTTATTTATAGTGATTTGCGCGAAATTAATGCAGGAATATAAACCACTTTGATCGGACGATCCGGAGAGCTTCCTTCAATCAGATGATATTTGATAGACATTTGGGTATCTTAATGATGTCAGAATTGAGCAATCTTGTGCTTGTTGGATTATTCTTGTCGAGACGCTCGATTCGACTATAAGCTTGTTAGATTTGGTATTCGTTTAATCTTTTAAATATGTCCTGAAAACTTCCAAGTGGGTTTAATAACTTGATATGAGTTTGATTTGACTCAAATTAGACTAATTAGTTTGACTGTAAGTTTGCTAAAATTTGAGTTTTGGATAATTTTTATGATGTTTGAATATTTCTTACTCAAAAATACATCTTGAGATCTGTGTCATGCCTCAAGATTCGTGTCGGATGATGGAGATTTGTTGGAGATGTATTAATCGTCCCTATTTTGGGTGAGACCAACTTCGTCGTCCGAAAAATGTTGATCTAAAGCTTTTATATATATATATAATAATAATATAAATCTATATATTTTAAAGCAAGTTTAACTCAATTAGGAGAGAATTTGCTTCAAATCATTGGAGGTGCGGTTTCGAGCCTCACGCTATCTAAAACTTGGATTTTTTTTACCGAGCTAAATTTCAGGCTTGTAGGCCCGTCCAGCGGGCCAGGAAGACGGGTTGAAGCTGGGAAGGCTGCAAGGCGGGCCGACAAGATTTAGAGCAGACGAAACGCCAAACAAATGTGGAAATTTGAAGCCGCGGGTGAATCCAAACAGCAGGCAGTCGAGCAGCTCAATCGCTCGATGCTGGCGCGAACTACGGGCAACGAATATCTCGATGCAGGCGCAAGTCGTGGGTAGCAGCCAAAGAATCGCGAGAATCCAATCAGAATTAGCAAAAAAGAGAAATTTGGGAGCCCAAATTATGAAATTTGAGCATATACAAATATATTCTTTAAAGCAACTAATTTTTTTTTATTTGTAATAAGAGAATTTGAAAGGCCAAAGAATAGAAATATGAAAAGAATTTCAGTTTTCTCTCTTTTTATTTTTAATTCAATTGTTTTTAACGTTATGTCATCGTAAGCCTATAAATAGAGGCTATGAATGAGAGAAAAAATCACATGTGAGAAGAAAAAGAAAAAAAATGGAGGAAAAGAGTGGAGAGTGGAGCCTTCTGCTAGTAAGATTTTCCCAAAATAGAATGTTGTCCCCGTCCTGTGTAGTAGGCGAGCAACAGGATCTTCTTTCACGTTGCAACCAAGAGAAAAGCTATTCACATCCTGTGTAGCATACAAGCAATGAGATATTATTTCACTTTGCGGCAAAGAGGAAAGTCGTCCCCGTCCTGCTTGACATGCGAGAAATGGGATATTCTTTTATGTTACTGCAAAGAGGAAAGTTATTCCTATCTTATGTAGCAGACGAGCAACGAGATTTTCTTTCACGTTGCAACAAAAAGGAAAGTCGTCCCCATCTTGTCTGACAGATGAGCAATGACATCTTCTTTCATGTTAGGGCGAAGAGGAAAGTCATCTCCGTCCTGAGTAACAGACAAACAACGGGATTATCTTTCGTGTTGCGGCAAAGAAGAAAATTGTATTCATCCTACGTAGCAGGTAAGCAACGCGATCTTCTTTCACATTGTGGAAATTGCGACAGCTGAAAAACCTTGTTCCACTGAGAATAAAAGTAAGGGTGGGTCAGAACTTGGAGGACGCGACGCCAATTCTGACAGAGAGTGACTTATTTCTTTTCGAAAGAAGTATTGCTTCCGGAATGACATGTTGGTGAAATTGTCGACTTCAACTGATCGAGCTTATTCTGCTCATTCTGGGTATGTTGTTGTTCATGAGACAGCCTACGCTTCCCGTCGACACCTGAGTTTATCGAAATCATGAAGACATTCGGAGTTTATGTTGCTCAATTATATTATCGGGTGGATACAGTTATTATCTGGTTGTTTGTTCTCTCTAAGAATAGAGGGTTGACGTTAACTCCAACAACTTTAGCTCAATTGAATGGGTTCTTTAGTGACACACATGATCGTGTGATGTTTAAGAACAAAACGTTGGATTTTTGTCAGAAGAACCGAGAAGACAATGGTCCGTGGAATTCTTCTTTGCAAAGCATGATTAGGGGTTTTGTAAGAGGAGAGGAAGGTTCCAACAGTTGTTTGTCTCTCTTCAGACTACTGAGGATGAAAAACTGCAGATACTAAGATTTTATTACTTCAAGGAGATGTTGTTTGAGACAAAATATATTTATGAATTTATGGGTGAGAAATCTTTGTTGAATGTCAAACTTCCATTCCATTCCGAACAATTCACAACTGCAATATTAAAGAAATCTAAAAAGGGATCTTCCTTGTCAGCCCTCATAGTTTTCTCAAAGCAGCCCCCAACGAATAGTGATTGTGAAATACTTCTTTACAAACAACAAAAACGGTTAAAAAATAACGGAAGTCCCTACCCAGTCCTGCGACTATATATATTCCTGAGAATATTTTGGCTCATGAAGAAACCAAGAGGTTTGTAAATTTCTTTTATTTTCTGCTACTGTATAACAATTTCATCTGTTTGACCTAAACTCCGTTTCTTTTAAATGGATAAAATGATGGAAATCCAGATCAGGCTAGAACTGACTCTGAGAAACTGGAACACCGAATTGGTTAAGATCAAATATCTTCAAGACGTGTATAAGCGCCGATATGAATCTGGGGTTGAAGAAGTCACTGCTCTGGAATCACAGTTGACAAAGTGTATGATAGAACTCTTAACAATGACGACTTCCTTCTCGTTGTAGCTTTTAGATTTGGAGAATACTTGAGAGGCGTTGATGGAGGCACAAGCCGATTTAAGTGAAAAAAATACAAGCGCGAAAGCCCTTAAGTAGACCTTGTCAGCCCATGAGGAAGAGATTAGACTTTTGAGGTTTGCAAAAGATGTTGATGTTGCGAAGGTTAAGAAAAAAGCGGTCGAGGACTTTAAGAACTCACTTGAGTTCAAGACTACTATTCGAGACCATGTCCAAGAGACTCGTGGTCGGGTACTTGATGTTGAGGCAAAGTAGCAGCAAAAGTGGTTCACCGATGAAGGATGCATTCGGAGTTTTCTGAAGGGGAGTCAACCGGCGCAATGTTGAACCAGGATTGTCGT